TTTCGTTAAAGAACATGACAGTTTGTAAAAAGTAACACTAATGACTGTCTCACAAATAAGTTGATTGTTCAACGCATAGTCTTAAAAAAAATGCATAACAAAACATTTCAGTCTTAACAAAAGAAATAGAAATGCAGTAGACACAAAAGTACTAAATAAAAGAACTAGTACCCCCGATACATCACCATCTCCAACCAGTTTCACCTCCACATCAAAGGTCCTTCCCGAACTGTTCGTGGTGCGACCCATCAAACGCCAATCCTGATGCGAACCAGTGGCTGTTTATGTCAGGCTCCTCGTCTAAGCTGCAAGGGTCATTGTTCAGTTCTTGCTGAGGGGGGGGGGATGTAAGTCCATGTTGGAGGAGGCGGCTTCAAATGCAGAAATATTTTTATTAAGATAACTTAAAGACGGCGTAAGGAGTTTAAAGTAATAAGTGGTCCATACTATGTGAAGCAAAGCAAACAAAGAACTTACCCGGGAAACGACATCTAACAACATTCCCTCTGGCCTTGTTGATGTGTACAAGAAAGTAGCAGTAAGCGCCCTTGGCCTCCATAACACCAATATTCCTCCTGGATTGTTGTCTGGACCAGCTGGCTCCACTTCATAGTCACCTGGGAGATCACCCAACAGGTCGTTCCTTGCGTACTGACTGTCTACACGAGCTTCCAATATGATTACTAGAATTGGGTTGAAATGGTTATAAAGGGTAGTGATGTTACGAATAAACAAAGGACGTGTGCATCCTCTGGCATTCCAACACAAAGCAAATGACCCAAACCGTATAGTAGTCTCGTTGCTACTGCTTGAGGCCAGAAACTCTCTTGTGTAACTAACACGGTGGTATCTCTTTCTGATAGGCAGAATACGGGGGACCTTCGGCTTCATGGTGTAACCCGATATATTGAGCCTCATGTGGGTTTGGCCGTCGATAACCTTCATTACATGGAGCGTATCCGTGTATGACCCAACAAATACATTACGCCACATCATAAGGAATGCATATATGGGTGCCTCGAATATGTTCAGTACGGGCTCCAAATCAATTAATTTAGCCAATTCAAAGGGAATTGGTCGCAACGAAGAAGAGGAATAGAAGGCTTGGATCAGCCAAAAAATCGTTACAATTGCTCCTTCATTGTAGCAGCCTACTAAATCCTCAAGCAGGGGTAAATGCCCGAGAACAGGGCTTCCGTCCTCGAGAACCATGAGCTGAGTTGGGGAGCACATTCCTTGTAGAAGACGTGCCCTCAAGTTTTGGATAGGATGGAAAAAACCACCTTCGAAGTGGTCTATTGTCTTCAAAAAATTCACAACATTTAAGTCTACTTCGTTATATTCCCGCTCCGATTTCTGGAAATACAAAATGGGCAAATGTGGGTGGGGTAAGACATGAACATATGAAACGGGAAGTGGATGAAAGTTCTCCATTGATGTGATGAAACCAAAAGGTGTCAAAGGTTGGAAGAAGATAGGAAGGGAAGGATGATGTACTTCAGCAATAAGAGGAAGTGAGTGGGGTGAGAATGTGAGCTAAGTTACAAAAAATATAGAATTTGAACTAGTTTCGTGGGAGGGAAAAGTTAAATTTGAATATTTGATCCTATTTACCATGTTACCGTGGTAATCCTACTACTGTAGGTGACGCAATAGGTGCAGCACTAGGCCAGAGAACTGTCTTGTCAAAAGAAACACTAAATTGAATACAATGGTACATATATGTACCATTGACTAACTAACTGATTTATTTGTACCACTATATGGTCTTCATAGGTATCATTGTGACAAAGCTGAACTACCCAAGTGTGCACTCCAACTTAATGTGAAGATCGAATTTCATTTGGTGGAACACACATACAAGTGCATTGAGGGACTCTCAGTGGTACAAATCTTATGGTAATATGTACCACTATTAACAGAATAATAACCATTTGCATTACAACGGTACCCTTACTAGTGTTAATGGCATCCATTGTGTAAAAGCATAAAAACTCGAATAGTAAAGGGATGTTAACTAATTGTGCACTTGCATTGATTACGAAGTTATATGCCACATTCAAAACACATGTTACGTCACACAATACATCGGTGAAGTTATCAGTTGTACATAATTAACAATAACAATTACTCGTAATAACTATTTTGCATACAGCCTACACAAGTACGCAGACTAGGTAGCTAACTCATAAAAACTTTGTAAATAATGTCAGTTGTAACAAAAGATATTACGTTGCGTATGATAACTACGTTATACATAACAACATTACTCAACAGCGTCCAAATGGTTGTTCATACATTATGCTATTTTGGGAAACGTACTTAGAACTCACTAGTTTTTTGGGCCAAGTAATTAAAAATCAGAAGCTATTTTGGAAATTTACTTAAGACTCACTAGATAATTATGTACCACCACATATCCTTACGTACCATTACGAGGTAATTGGTACCCTAATGTACTATAACTTTGCACAGTGGTACCCTAGACTTTGCCCTCGTAAATGGTACGTCTTATAATTCTATAATGTGTCATTAAATATTCAGTGGTACAATAGGTGAAAATCAAAGTACCAATTATGTAGTACCTTAATCCCTTTGTTTGTTGTGTCAAGTAAGAGATTGAGGAAGTCATAACTATGAAGCCATTGTTGATGTATTTTTAAGCCCGCAAGTGCATACAAATGATATATTGTACTAAGAGTTGATATATTAAGTCTATAATTGAATCAATACTATGAATAGTCTTTTTACTTTGTAAAGCATGTATTCCAAATGGTTGCCATTACAATTATGAAGATCCCTATAGACGGTATATGAATGATTATGCGCGGTAACCGTATGATATAAGACCAACGAATAATCACTACATGAGTAAAAGAACCGCTTTTATATATGATATAAGACATTTAAAATCTTATATCACTACATGAATGCTTTCCATGCATTTTAAATGTCTTTCCTTTCTTTGTCTACTATGGACTCCTAATTCACGTTACGTACCGCTATGCCTGCAGCGGTACAATCCTTTATTTGTTGTGGTAAATTATATAACTTAATTATACCACCTTGTTATGAACAATACATCTTGTTGTCGATTCTTTTTTTTTTTTTAAACAAGTTATCGATTCTTATATCACTACATGACTGCTTTCCACATTTTAAATGCCTTTCATTTCTTGTCCTTCGACATTTTAAGTGTCTTTCTTTTTTTGTCCTACTATGGAATCCTATTGCATGTTACGTACCGCTACGACTAAAGTGGTACAAAGCTTTATTTGGTGTGGTAAATTATGCAACCTCTTTGTACCACTGTGACTTTAGTGGTACAAATACGTAGTTTTTGCATGAAATGTTACAAAGTATTTGTACCACTACATGTCAACAGTACATCCTGTGGTGGAGGCCTATTACATAATAAAATTATGTGTTGTCCAAAAAAGGGTTAATTGAGAAATGCGTAGTCATGAAATTATGTCTATTTAACAGAAAGTTGTGATGAAAATGTAGTTAATTTTGCATATGCTACAAAAATACGTCCATATGATTACAAAATGTGTGTCACCGTTATATCGTCAATGTTTAAAAAAACTTACACGAAACAATGTGTTCAAACGTATTATAAAAAAATTTCTATAGTGGTACATTACTTAATAATGTATGTGCCTTCTTGAGATTTGGGTATAGTTAATGGAACGTTTTTAATTGCTTCACATCAAATGGCGCGAAGACATAGGGAAACTGAAAGAGGGAGTTGAAGGGTCGTATTTGAAATCATCCCACGTTCATGAGATGTAACTTCCTCCTCCCACTATCTATATATACCTTCCATGTTCTGTACATTTCTTTCATTTTACTCAGTCATCTTTTTCACCGTTTTTGTATTTCTTACCTTCTCTCGTTCTATTTTGTTTTTCCATTGTTAAACTGCAAAAATGGTGAAACAAAACAAAGGTCGTTCCCCTAGCCAGGCCCAGGCGGAGGGGGAGGCAAATAAGGCAGAGGAGCCCCGACAGCCCTAAAGGCGTCCTTCCCCATGCTCCGTACCATGTCCTTGATCGTTGTTCTCCGGAGGTTTCTGGCCACGAATCGGGTGCTTATGGTCACTCATCTTCAACCATTGAAAAACTCCAATGATGGAGGTGAAGTTTGGTTGGAATTGAGTTTCATGTGTGGTTAGACTTGGTTTACGCTTTAATTAGTTTAACGTGGTTTAATGTAACTTCTATTGAACATAGGGACAAATGTGTTTATGTTAAATTAAGTTGTTTATATTTTGCTTGTATTGAACAATATCAATCTTATTATAGACATTGTGCTGTAATCATAGTTCTTCAATCATGTTATTTTTGTTAGTCGCCATTGAATATATTGATATTATTAAACAAAGAGTAGTACCCTTGGAACTACTAAGTGGTACTTTTATGTGTGCCAATTATAAGCAAAATAGATGCCAGTGGTACTTTTATGTGTACCAATTATATTCAAAATAGATGACAGGGATACATTTGATATGCTACAAGTTGTGCTGTTAAATTGTACCAATTGCTAAATTGTACTGTTGTTACAGAGCAGCGCAAATAATATACTTATACGTAGTAAAAAGTTTGAAAAAAATAGATTAATTGTGATTGGATCCAGATGTGCCAGGAGTGAGGCCAAGGAGAGAAGCAAACACTCCACCAGAGTGTCCTCCCCTAACCGTAGTAAAGTATCCTAACGACCCATCCAAATTCCTCATTTGTATTCCCCCAACAGATCGAATATACTCATTGTCCTAATGATATGCTGGTTGGGGTCTGAGCAACTTTCTTCCGAGCATCATTTTTCGCCTTATTAGCAGCCCTTTCTTTTCCTTTCTTCTCAGTGCACGACGGGTATCTAACACTTGTAGTGCGATGTGCCTTCTTCTTGGGTAAGGGTGGATCCTTAATCCTACCTTGGGCAGATCCTTCGTAGCTCCCTTGGAATCCACTAACAGGAGTAGTGTTGTTATTACGAATTCATGATGCCACTGTCATTGGTGTGTTTGTCTCCTCAGGCCCCTTGTTCTGTGCCACAGAAGACGGCGTTCGGACAACTCCATGTACACCTTCATCCTCACCAGGACCATTCTCATTCCCTCCTGCAAGCTGCCTTTTTGCAACCATTGCTAGAACTTCATCCACTCTCAGATCCATGAGATGCAACATCTCTTTGACAGCCTGCACTGCCTCCTTACAAATGGAAGCCTTAGAGCAAATAGGTTCGTACGTCCCCATAAGATTGTGATAATTCCTCACTTCATCAGTAGTCAATGGATCATGGTAAGCAACTTTTACTCGTGTGTGTTTCCGTTGTACGTCCTTCCTCCAACGACGGAGTACATACTTCTCAGGAACAACAGTTACTCCATTAAGGTCATACACAAGAATCATATGTCGAAAAATGATCCCATGACACTAAAAGTGTTTACAGTCACATGCAACTTCATACGTACTTGTAGGGAATATTTTCAAGCATTTAAAATCCCACTAGCTTGAACCGCACTGTGATCATACACTAAAGTACGGTGGCGTCCAAAAGGGAAGAAGATAGAGCAAAAGAGTCGCCAACAAGTTTTTAAGGAACTTGTAAACCGTACACGAGGTGAAGGTTACACCTCTTAACGATCCAAGGGATCGTCAACTCCATAAGGTCATGAACCAAAATAGGGTTCGGGGATGATGGTACAAATCCAACCTAAAAGAGATTGAACCTGCCCTAATAATAGGCCTCTACTTTATTCTGCTCGCATTCATGTGCGCTTTCTGACTAACATGCAATCAATAGGATTAACCCTAAACCTTTTTAATCTATGTTGGTTGAATATTAATGCACAAATAAATCTATTATCGGCGATCACTTGAATTATAATCATAATAACCCTAACAAGATTATTAATTATCTTATTAAGCGTGGTTGCAAATACCAATTCCCTTTAAGCATGCAAATAAAGGTGATCAAGCAATAACAATATAAAATAATAATATGCATATCAAGCAACATAATAAATAATCAACATTATTAATAATAATAATATCAATCATAATCAATAATAATAATAATCATGTTAAAGCATAGCAAGATCCTAGGCATGATACTAACAAGATTAATAACAAACCCTAGCATGTCACTAAGCAATAAAAATCAAATCTTTAACCCTAACATGATACTAACGTGAATTAATATTAGGAAGAAAATAGGAAGCATCGCAGGAACCATATTAAACATATTTGATATTATAACCTTTTCCTTAAACATGATATTAGGAATCATAATAACAATTCAAGCATGATTTCTACATCATAATATCAATTAATCAATTAAAGTACTTACTTGGATGTCTCGTACCTCTTTCTAATAACAAAATACACACGTTAGTAACTTCAAGGAAAATAATAATCAAAACAATTAAATTAAATAATTGAAAGAGAGATTTGGGACCAAACCCTCAGAAATTAAACCTTTCACGTCTAGGGCGAAGGCAACTTCGAATATGGCTAGGTGTATCAAGATCTTGTGAATGCGGAATTTTGTATTAAAAAGCAAGAAAGAATTTCAGAAGAAAAGAATTCTAATGAATGAATGTTATTGAAAGTTAATGAATGAATGAATGAATAAATGATTTGAAGATGAAGAGAATGAATTAAAAGAATTGATGAATGATTGATGCTTCTTGATGATGGTTGGTGAATCTTGATGAATGAAAACGGAGTTTTTGATACGATATTTATAGAGAAAATCATCCAAAAAAAGATAATTTGACAAAACAGAGTCTGAAGATCGAAAATCAACCTTGGCGCCAGGACCAGTGGCTAGCGCCAAGCGCCAATGGCTAGCGCCTGGCGCCAATCCTAGTTCCAGGCGCCAAGGCATGGGGTTGGACGCCAAACTGTTTTTCAACGCGTTTTCAAAAATCTGATAAATTTCCCGTATTGGAAGATAAAATAATATAATTTCAATCGAAAATGCTATTTGATCTTGATTAAAACTCTGAAGAGTCCTAATTGAATTAAGAATGCAAAGAACCTTCTAGAATGTTCTAGAAGAATAAAACCATTCCTAATTGCATTAGGAATGATAAATTTTATTAGGCCCTCCCCTAGATCATTAGGCCGTACTTAAAGCTCAAACCGGGCCCAGTTTAGTAAATTGGCCATAACTTCCTCAATATTCATCGGAATCGGGCTTATAATATATCGTTGGAAAGGTCTTTGCAAGCCCCATCCAACTACACCACTATTGGACCCATATCATGGACCAACCAAACTGGATTGGCTGTTCTCTTAAAATAAAGTTTTCAAAAACAGGGAGAAGAAATAAAACTTTCCGCAACACTAGACCTTTCCACACTTCGTTTCATTCGATTATGATTCGACGTGAAAGGCACTCATCACCGGGTTTGGTTTTGGGGAGACACAAATGGGTGTCTACAGTACTACTATCATATATAACCCGGTAGCATCTACGAATCTTTGTCACTTCATCCTTCTTCGCATTTTTAGGCTTGATCCAAACACGGTCTTCGATAATAAACTTAATTAGATTAGTACCAATTTCATAGTGATCTAGGGGACGAACATACAACATCTTCTTGCACAGTCCCTGCACTTCTTTGAATTTTGCATCCGTATAGCATTTTTGAAACAACACCTCCGCTGGGAAGTCAGTCACTAAATGCCTCACATACCGTTGTGTGTTCGAGTCTGCCATTCTTTCGGCCCCGGCCCTTACTGTCATAGCATCGCAATACCGAATAACAAACTGAGACAACGTTGTATGCTTGTCAACATACCCTTTAGAAAAATGATTAAAACTCTCTGAACGTTGAGTCGTTTTCATCCCAGACCAGAATAAATGTTTCAAATACGCGGGAATCCACATTACTCGTTCCTCATAGAGCCCTATTCAATATAATTGCAATTATCATTTTCATCCAATATACACTAGTTTACGACAAATACTAAGTGACACAAACAAAGAAAGCTACAAAAGCTTCTGCTACCTGTACGTACTAATTGCAGTGGTACATTAAAATTGATAGTGGAACAACAAAAATAACCATTGGAACAATGCTACTACTCAGTGGTACAAAACGCACAGACCAATATATTTACTCAAATATTCAGATCATCAACACCCCAAAAACACATACAAAATCATGAGTAACTTTACTAAGAAACCATAAAGTATAAACCATTGAGTGGAAGAAACTAACCCTATAGCCAAGCGTTGTCTTGTAGCTCGTAATGCTGAATTGCATCACACCATCGAGCTTCAAATTCATCAACATCTAAACTACCTTATATGAGGCTATCAAAGTCATCCTTTAAAACTTCGTAATCATCATCACGCTTAACATACTTACCAAATTTCTGTAGGATGTGCCATATGCACCACCTATGGGTCGTTTCAGCCATTGTACAATGCACAGCTTTCCTAATTGCCGGATCTTGATTCGTCAGAATAGTTGTAGGGTCTTTACCGCCCATACAATGCAGCCATGTCCTCATCACCCACTCATACGTTTCTGCTCTCTCGAGAGAGATCAATGCAAAACCAAACAATATACTCTGTCTGTGGTGATTCACACCAAGAAATACAGCAAAGGGCAAATGGAATTTGTTAGTCAAGTACGTACTATCAAAACAGACAACATCGCCAAACTCCTCATAGGCAGCTCTGCTCCTCGCATCCACCCATACAACATCTTGTAAGGAACCATCCTTCCCAAACCTACACAGATGGAAAAAATTTTGATTATCTGCACTCATTTTGTTGAAGTACTCAATCATCCCATTTGCATCACCCTCGGTAAGCTCCAGTCTCTTTTTCTCCTCCTCAGCCACCGCATTCGTCAAGTCTTTTTGAGTAAAAGTCAATTGATCCACTCCATTCACCTGCCTACCAAAACAACCGTACATCTAGGAAACCTTCACCCTTAACTTCTTCGCAGAAACCACCTGTTTCACCAAGTGCTTATGTTTGGTAACCAAATCGTGCTTCCTGTACATGGAAACATCCTTGGACTTTCCCGGTGTAACTACATGATTAGTGTGCTCCAAGTTCACCCTACGAACAACCCAATTCCCTTCTGCATTAACACTTGCATACAACTCCACCTCACATCCACACTTTTTTGTTTTCCTTTGTACAACTGTCTCCTCATCCTGAATCAAACCTTCCTTCAGTGGATCAACTTTATGCTTCCTAGAAGGTCTTTCGTAGCAGTCACAGGTCCACTTAGCATTCCTCCGCTGCTTACAACACTTTCCAGTACCCAATTCCTTCTTCACCTTCACCCATCCAGAAGCAACCCTCACTATTCCAAACCCCTTTTGCATAGCGTAACTCCAGAAGTAAGTATCTAACTCATCCCAACTACCAAATACCATGCCCAAAATTGTGGGTGGTATTTCCTCTTCAACACCGAACACAGTTTGCACAATTTGCCTACCCTTCTTTGGTGTTGTGAACCCTTCACCATCAACTTCGTTTTCACCATGAACTGACTCATAATCTGACCCCAGATTTTCTCCACCATGAACTGACTCATAATCTGACCCCTAATTTTCTCCATCATCTCCTTCTCCCATTTCATTCTCCTTCTCCTCCTCCTCATCATCCCATTCTGTAAATCTATCCTCACTCCCTAACCCCTCATCATACACATATACATCATCCTCACTATCATCTCCAACTGGCTCAACACCAACCTACAACACATATACATCCATATCTCATTCTAGTGGATCATTATAGAACCAAACAAGACAATATAACCAACAAAAATATCATGCATTCTGCCCATATTCGAAATCACACAACCCACAAAACCAAAATTTTAGAACAAATGCCATCACAAAATACATAAAAAAGGAAAAATCAACATTAATATACATCTACTCCATCAATTGAAACTACATTAGCCTACCATCAATTACAAACAACAACAACAAAAACGATAACAAATGAAAAACAAACTAACCCCTACTCCAAATTCATTACCCACATAACAATATACACAATACTTACTCAGTTAAATACTACCCCTACCAATAACCCCCAGCATGATTACTCAATTTCAAAATACTCAATACAAACCCTAACCTCTCCTTACCCAAGCTTTACTTTTTAAATTTCACAATTGCTTTCATTCATTACCCCATTCTCGCTAAGAAACTAACAACAACGCTTTAAAATACATAACTTACCATCTCAAAGTCGAATCTCAGCTCCCTTGCGCAACCATGCCCATCTTCTCCATCTTCCCGAATTGCTTCCGCCAAATCGACACCCAAAATATCTTCTAGCCGATTTCTCATTCTACTAATCCACAGCTGCACTTACGAATTCACAATTTGACAAAAAAAAAAAATTGGCTTGCTAAGCTACATTCTTCGTCTCCATTGATGAAGAGCTTCCATTTTTTTTTTAAGTAAAATTAACTGACATGCAAGTCATTTTTACCTTAGTGAAAATGTTTTCCCGCTTCTTCTTTTCACTCCGCGTTACGCTTCAGTTGTCCCGTTATACTAATGGACTACTTGCATGATATAAAGTTACAGCTAATTGCAAAATTTCCATCCTATATGTTCCTTCACCCATAGGTGCTATGCGCCAAGACTTAACCCTCTACTTCGATTAAATTACTACCTCCGGTCCAAATTACTCGCAACTTTGAGGTATTATTTGTGAAATATAAAATATTCCAAAGTTGCAAGTAATTTGGACCGGAGGTAGTACTATCTTCTAAGATTCGAACCATTAATTAATGAAAGCAAATCCTAAGTTTTTTTTTTTCATCCTCATCAACATCTTCATAACTAGTTGTGTCTCTGTCCTTACAAAGTTCTTCCTGTTACCCGTCTTAAGTGGAAGCAGAAGGACAAGTCGCCATCTTTGTAGTCGAGGGATCCAGAAGGTGGGTGTGGTGCATTGGTGCTGATGTTAAGGTGGACACCAAAGGAGAAATATGTAAACAATTTTGGTATTGATTAAACTTTAAACTTGTGGATTGATGGTATTTTTGCAATTTTGGTAAATATTAGGGTTCATTGATGAATTGCGCTTAACCCTACAAAAATAAACCTTGATTATTATATAATTCATTAAGTAAAACTAAATTCCATTTAATTTTAGTTTAATTAACAATGTCAATTTACTATTTGGGTAGTTAATTGGGGAAATAATGTAATTAAAAATTGTTTTTCATGTATGCGTAGGATAATTTGTAATTGGGGTTATATTTAATTGGGGATTCTTAATTCTAGGGTTTACTGTTTAAATATTGTGCTATGCTTTGGAAATGTTGTCTCATTATTACTTTATTATTGTTGTGTTATGCACATGTGAATATGCTAAATAAACTTAACCAATATTACAAATAGATGAATAGGACTTGCCCTTCTCTTGTAAATTGAACAGATGGATGATAATGTTGAAAATGTGGATATTAAGGTTAGGATAGGTGGTGATTTTTTTTGAAAAAAAAAAGGTAGACAGATTTCGATATATAAGGCTAGATGGGAAATATTGGAAATATGATTGTAAGGCTGCTGACTTTTAATTTCAATCCACTGTCTTAGAGAAGTCTATATTTGGGAATTTGTACTGTGAAGTTAGATTTGCATGTGCCAAGGTTGTGGAATATTTGATATATATAAATAAAAAATATTAATAAGGAAAAGCCTTGGTAATCGGTAAAAGGGAAATTGTAATGTTGATGATGTGATGAAGGGCTTTTTGGAGATAAAGAATAGGTATGGGTATGTACAACTCTTTTGTACTGGTCATGAAAGGCTTAGAAAAATTATTAAAGAATCCATTAATATTGTACAACAAGCACAAAGTAGTCAAAACAATGTTAAAAATACCACAAAAGTAAGAACAAACTCGATGAAAGACCAGGAAAGCAAGATGAACAGGAAGGACCATCTTCAAAGGTTGTAAAGGTAAACGAGCAAGAAAAAGAAAAGGAAAAGAGAAAGAGAAAGTAAAAGAGAGACAAAAAGAAAGCTTGTGTTAGAAACAAATATTGGATCTAGTTCATCATGTTCCGATTCTAGTGACATTAATATAGAATGGGAGGCAGGAGAAGAGGATGGGCATGAAAGTTACATAGATATTAACAACATGGAACAACATTGTTACTAACAATGAATTTGTGAGCAAATAAATGATATTAGAGAATGAGTTCAGTTTTAATTTTGAAGAGTTGTACTGCCCTAAAGGATTTATGATGAGCATGCAAGACAACAATCCATGGTTTCATGTTATAACATAACTTCAAGAAGTCTATCCAATTGTTGAAAAAAAATCCCTAAATTCACCTCCATTATCAATATCATGGTGAAATTTAGATCGATAAGTAAATTTCTCTCGCTCCTCAAGTCCTCAGTTTCGCTCTCTAGCTTTGAAATTTCTCTCTAAAAAGCGCTCTCTGTAAATTTTTTCTCACTAAAATTAGGAAAAATTGACATTTGCTACCAGCGAAAGCACCCTATTTCACATTTGCTATCCGTTTAAAATAAAATTTTATTTTGCTACCACCCAAATCTCCAAAATATTTATTTCACTACAAAGTGACTTAAGTCGTTACTATTTTTGTTAGTTGGGTTTAGCCACCGTTCAACCATCTTGCAGCCACCCCTCTGCCTCACTACCATCCCTCCACCACTCTCCCTGCAACTTCCACCCTTCCCCTCCACCTCACTGCCACCCTCCCCTCAATTGCCACCCCCTCCCTTTCCCCCACCCCTACGCAACCAACGAACCCCCCTTTCCCTTTCCCCGTTCTCGCTGACCCGACACCAATCCGCAACTAAACCAACCACCATCAATCTCCACCACCATCACCGCTGGTGCCTCCAAGCTCTGGACGCCGGCAGCGGGGGAAGAGGTGGCAGTTGGGGGGAGGGGTGGCAGGGTTACTTTTTTTTTTGAAAATTTTTATTTTGTTTTTAATTTTTTATTTTTTGAATAAACTTAACGGAACCTTAACGCATTCCCTTAAGTGGTAGTGAAATTTTAATTATGTGATTTTGAGTGGTAGTTGTAGACACCTAAAAATGTCTCCCCAAAACCAAACCCGATGATGAACAACCTTTCACTGTCACTATTGGTCGGGTTCAGTATTTAATCCCGAGAGTGCTTAAAAAAATCGTATTTAATTAAATTCATTAGTCCATGGATTAGTCTTGATGTTTAGTCAAAGCATAGTTTTAAATTTCAGCCCAAATCCTTTTTATTTTATTGTTTTATTTATTTTGGCCCAAACCTTGTATTTATTTTATTTACTTATTTTCTTTGTTTTAGCCCAAATAATAATAATAAATCAGAAATGGCCCGAAATTATCAATCGGCAATTAAAATGCTGAACGAAATCAGGGTTAAAAATGAATTTAGACGGAAAAATGGACCACAGACTCCCGCGTCACGGGAGCTGTCCACCGTGTCACGAGAACCTGTCCCATCAGACGGTGGGAATCCCCGTGACACGGGACACCTGCTGTGACACGGGAGTTTTTGTGTCCTTTCCGCGTAAACCCTTAACACGTTTTCTCCCCCGTTTACTAAATATTTCCCACGTCACACAACAAGTACACCGTGTCACGGGAATGTTTCCCGTCTAACGGTGGGGTTTCCCGTGTCACGGTATACTTTTCCGTGTCGCGGCATAGATTTTTAGGGTTTTTATATTTTTAGGGTTCCGTGTGTTCCCTCAGCACATATTTTCTATAAATACCCCCTCATTTCTGATTTACGTGGCATCAATTAATTCTCTATTTTCTCTCTTCTGTGTTCTAGCCTAAACACTAGCCTACCCTTCTTCTTTCATAATTCCTTCTTCAAGCACTTCAAGGAGTCCATACTTTACTCGGGTTCTGTCCTTAAGCCAAGGCGTGAAAGGTAGAACTGTTTG